TCTTCGGCTTTGACCCGCGCCACTATTTCTTCAGCTTGTTCTCCTTGTGAGACTAGTTGTCTCCAGGAGCGACATTCTGCCACCCCCATTTGAGCAAGGAGCTGGGTCTGCAGGTTGTGCCTGCAAGTTTCAACCAGAGTTGATTGGGTCATACCTGAGGGGCATCGCAATGCCATGCTGCGGAATCTCTCCACATAGGTTTTGATGGACTCTCCTTTCCTTTGCTTAGTGGCAAGAAGAGTTGGGACCGAGACCTCCGTGTCGTCCTCAAAGAATCTGGCCAAGAATAGCCTTTCCAGGTCTACCCATTTCTGGATAGATCCGGCAGGCAATTTCATGAACCATTCGAAGGCGACACCCTTAAGGGTACCGATGAACAGCCTGGTCAGGATGGCGTCGTTTGCTACTACATCCCCAGTTTGGGACTTGAAGTAGTAAATGTGCTGATTTGGCGATCCTGTACCATCGAACGGTTGTAAGGTAGGGGCCTTAAACTTCGGTGGGTAGGGAGCTGTATCCCACTCAGCAGGGTAAGGTCGCACTACCCCTTCTTCGCGGAGCTCGCTTCTGTTGGCAATTGCGTTAAGGCGAGCCTCCAGCTCCTCCACCTTAGTAGATTGAGGGTGCAGTTCTTTCTCGATCTCCCTCTCACCCTCGGAAGAGGATCCCAGGTTGTGAGTCTCACGGTCTGAATATTCATGCAGTTTTTGTTTTCCCTTTGAAGTTGTTCTCCGGGAAGACTCAGGTTTGTGGCCTTTTTCAGCAAGAAGCTGAGCCAACATATCCTTCAATTGGAGAAGTGTCTCCTGTTGCGCCTGGAGCATGACATGATGTTCGTCCACTCTTTTGGCTATGTCCTCGGGGTTTCCTGTCATGTAAGCAGAAACCTCCTGTGCTCCGACAGAGCTTGAAGATTGAGATTCGGCTATTGCCGAATGCTCCTCACTTGTTGTAATGCCTTTGGCTAACTTTTGATAGTCAACCGGGCGAATAGCTCCTGTCCGAGTCCGAGTATTCTGATATACTCCTTCGAACTGGTCACAAATTTCTCGGACAGTTGGCGGATGACTCTCCTGTGACTCGTCAGAATCAGTACGCGAGGCCTTCCCTCGGCCGATCATGTTGATAGTGACCTGAGGGTATTCCGCTTCAACTGTCTTCTTTCTGTTGCGGCGTTGTCGTTTGGCAGGTCTAACGACATTCGTCAACCTGTCGAATACAGACTGCCGAGGTGTTGTTGCACAACAAGGGCATTCTGACAAGACTGCCGAGATAAGCCTCTCACATTGACATGGGTGAGCTGTTTGTGCTGCTGATTTTCCTCTCGACAACAGTTCCCGAAGATCAGGAACTTGGGAGGAAACTTTCCCCGGACTTGGAGGTGGAGTTGGAACCCCCTGCCCTTGGGTAGGTGAGATTGGTTCTTGTCGAACGTGAATTTTAAAGCCACGCTGACTTTTCTGAACCTGACGGACCTCTTGAAGATCGCGTTCCTGAGAAATAACGCGAGGGTCGCGTTGAGAGTTGTAAACACCAGGCCGAGGCCTGCGTTTAAATGATGAACCTGACCCCTGAGGGTTAAGTTTTGGTTGAACGCGCCCCTGAGGGTCGCGTTTGGTTTGTGAAACAGACTCCTGAGAGTCATGCTTCGTTTGAACGCGCGCCTGAGGGTCGCGTTTAGTTGGTGAAACAGACTCCTGAGAGTCATGCTTCGTTTGAACGCGCACCTGAGGGTCGCGTTTAATTTGTGAAACAGACTCCTGAGAGTCATGTTCAATTGGAACGCGCCTATGAGGGTCGCGTTTGGTTTTGGCAGCTCCATTCTGAGGGCTGCGTTTTGAATGAACAACGCGCCACTCAGGGTCGCGTTTGAGCTGTATCAGCCTAGGCTGATAGTTGGGCTCATTACCACGCAGTGAGCGTTCTTCTTTGGGGACGCCAAGTTCGGTTGGATCTTTAGAAACGCGATCTTCGCGTTGGGCCAACAATCGGCTTTCTCGTAGGTGTGCTCGTCGGATGGATCTTCTCCGTCGGCGAGCGGCGTTCTTTTTGGCTTGTTTCAAAGCCTTAGCAGCAACGTCGTTGACGTTTATGGAACTCGTCTCTTCCAGAGGCCGTTTGTGGCCCGAAGCACGCTGTGCTGACGCGGACGTGGGCTTTTCAGCCAGCAGAGCCAATTTGAGTTCCTGGCCGAAGGAGAGGGCTTTCTTCGGCTCTTCAACAACAGAATTGATCTCCTTGGAGATCTTGCGGACACCATGCTTAGCCTTGGGGCTAAGCGATCCAGAGGATAGGGCTTCCTCGTATTTCGCCTGATCAAACTCTACGACGAGAGTTTCTACAGTCGTTCCCAAGAGGTGGACGTCGGACTGAGCCACCACTTCATCGTCGGAAAAGCTAGTCCCCAGCGGAGTCGCCATCTTTTGTTTGTTGGAAAAATTGTAAAGAAGAGAATAAAGAAAATGTGACTTTGATTCCTTTGATCTCGGTTACAACTTGATTACAAAAGAGAGGAAAACGAATTTGATTTTCCCCTTTGTTTAAAACTGGGTTCTTCTTGACAGCAATGGAGTGCTTCCTTCGATTGATTGCGTCGAACTTGCTCTCCGTTGACGATCCGACCGTCTTTATCTCGTGGGAACGATGAACTTTCGTGGAAAGTTTTATGAATAACTCTGAATGAGTTTAAGAACTCTGAACGAGTTTGAACTCTGTGAATAGAGTTGTTGGAACCGAAAATTCGGTTAATAATCAAGCTGTTTTTCTGTTGTTGAAGGATTCTCTCAGATTTGATTTTCTGAGGTTGGTTCAAAAATCCTATCTCCAAGGATTTCGTTGCTGTTGTTGCCGAATCTCCAAACCTGAGTGGTTTTGATGATAAAGAATCCAACCCTTGATCTGATTATCAAAAATCCCGATCCTTTAACTCTGTCGAGTTTGTTTTAGAACTGAAAATCTCCAACCTGTATGGTTTAGATCTTTTGAATCCAACCTGTGTGGTTCAGATGCCAAATTCCAACTTGGTGACGCGGGGATGACATCCGCGTTTCAGAAGGAGCCATTTGACTTGTAACTTCTTCTGTAGAGCGTTGCAAGGACCGTTGTTCAGTAATCCTGGCTTTAGCTGTTGTGGGGTGTGAAAGTCGTCAGATTGTAACTTTCACTGTAGATTGTGAAGACTGCTGAATAGAGTTTTCATCCGTCGTCGGAAGTGTCGTTGAATTGTAACTCTTCTCGATCTATGTGAAAAGCCATCCATTCGCAACATTCGTTCACCGACCCGATAACTATTTGATTATAGCTTTCGTTGTAGGAGCTAGACGGGAATCAACATCCATAGTGTCTTAAAGATGAATATTCGCCCATAGCTCTCTACCAAGCAACTATTCGACTATATGTTTCGATCATCGACCCGAAAGCTATTTGATTGTAGCTTTCGTTGTAGGAGCTAGACGGGAATCAACATCCATAGTGTCTTAAAGATGAATATTCGCCCATAGCTCTCTACCAAGCAACTCACCAACTGAGTCCAACTTTTTATTTCTGAAATCGTCCCACTGCTCATCAGCATCTCTAATAGTTGCTATGATATTAGCCATGCTGTTGTCACAGCCATCAAGATCAATCATCTTAGAAGTGAGGTCGCGTTTGTGGCAATTGTGGAGTTGTGGATGCAGTGATTGGGAAGTCGTCTGATTGTGACCTCCGTTGTCGGAGCTTGTTTGAATAAGCTATCTATTGTGATTTTTAGACAGCCTACAGCCCCTAGTGCCTTCCAAATTATCTGTAAATGTAAAGAGACGCTGAAAATGAAACAAATTATTCTTTAGTGACAGGTTAGAGTTTTCATTTCCCTTTATATTATGTGTGTGAACACTAAGCTATTATCTTTTAAGTTTCAAAAGGTACTTTCTTACTTCTTCGGACCACCAAAGGACACGATGCCTTGATGCCTAGAGTTTCACTATAGACTGGTCTGATTGACCATAATCAACAAGTGTTGATTCTTTTCTTTTGATGCCACTAGTCTAGAAATATTTAAACATCATCATTAACTATTGACATAAAATTCAGTAAAATTTACACACAAGTTTACATTTTACGTACCCACAATTGTCAATGGTCGCTGGAAGTGACGTGTGTAACTAATAAGAGTAGCGAAGTTTAGGGCCTTTGGGGCGTGTTTGGATTGAGGGTAATGAGGGGTAGGGGAATATGTTTTAACTTTGTTTGGAAATCAAATTGGGCTAGGTAGTGAGGCAGAAGAGTAGGTAAAGGAGGGAGAAAACTCATCCCCCCCGGAAAAAATTAGGGTGTAGCCAGGGTGAACGTAAAGGAGGGGGAGCAATGCAATTGTAGAGAGACCAATTTACACATTATCGAGATCTAAATATTGGATTTTAATTTCTAATAACAACATAACTTAATAACATGCAAGTATTTATGCCATTTTTATATATATTCCTTTTCTTTCCCTTCACTTCGTTACACTTTCCAAACGGGGTGAAATAAATTCCCATTGATTTTCCATACTAAATGTCTAAATAAATTTTACATGTTATCTTCCTCTTCCCTAACTTAACTTTTTCTAGGTTCTCTTTAACTTCCCTTCGCTTCCGGCAAATCCGAACGAGCCAGGTCTCTTGGAACAAAAATAATGTAGGCCACAGAATTTATGCTATCACGACTAGTGTAACATCATACAGAAACATGAAAATAACTGGAAGATTTCCGTACATCTTTCCACTAGATTTCGCCATCAGATTATGATGATGAGTACTACACACAGCCGGCCAATTAGAAAGACAGGACAAGGTGATGCCCCACTCGCTCTAAAGTAGTGACAGACAATGAAAAAATAAATAAATAACTACAAAAGCAGGAAAAGACAAACAAAAAAAAAAGTTTATTCCCGTAAAGAGATCAGCTGAGCAACCTCACTCGTCTGTGTATATATATATGTGCACACAAACATCAATGTACACCTTAGAAGCATCCAAACTAAGCCAACACTTCCAGCTCCAAGATCCATATCATCTTCTTCGCTAAGAGGGCTGTAGTTCTAGGCGGCGTCGCGTTTCATGGCTAGAGAAACTGACCCTTTAATTGTTGGGAGGGTGGTCGGTGATGTGCTGGACCCATTTACGAGGAGCGTCCCCCTCAGGGTATTCTACTCCTCAAGGGAAGTGACAAACGGGCGCGAGTTTAAACCGTCTCAGGCGGTTCATCCACCTAGAGTCGAGATAGGAGGGAACGACCTTAGGACCTTCTATACGCTCGTAAGGACAGAATGTCTCTAGCTCCATATTATGTTTCATTCTGTTCTCCTGTTAGTTTTCCTAGCAAAACGATTTTTCTGCAAGTTCTTCAGCTTTGAGTGCAGTTCCTGCGAAAGTATAATGTCTAATGAGTTGAGGTGGGTTACGAAAGTGCCTAGCCGATGCAAAATGACAAGAAGTCAGAAGGCATGCAAGTTTTTTTTTTTTTACCCCCCTTTTTTCTTTTGCTAGAGATTAGACAGCAAACCTTTTGGGTGCAGGTACCTTTTGAGCAGTGCTCTGTTGCTTCTCTAATGATTTGATGGTACTTTAAAGCCCTAGAAAATGGTTAAAAAAATTTCATGGTGCTGATAAAAGTGCAGGCAAGCAAAGAATGCGAGCAAAGCTTATTTTCTCAGATTTTAATTTAGCCACAGTTTAATGCTTGATGATGACGCACTTTTTTGCAAGGTACAGGGTATGGAAGCCTCTATTCTTTCTAAAAGGTTATGGTGTGCTGCAGGTGATGGTGGACCCTGATGCTCCAAACCCAAGCAATCCCCACCTGAGGGAATACCTGCACTGGTAAGACAATGCCTGATTCTGACTGCTAGCTAGCTCTTTCTTATCATATATACGCCATCAATGAGAGCTTTTACGGTCCACCTCATGGGATGCTCACTCTCTGAACGTTACGTGAAAAGGTAGAAGAGCCTCAAATTGACCAACGTCATGGGTATAAACGATGTACAAGCCTACGTCTTCCTCTTTTCAAATGTTTCCTTAACTAATACCCTTCATTTGATTCCCCCCTCACATCCTTATTCCCCTGCTTTTTCCTAAAAAAATTGAAGTGTGCGACCCTTCTTTGTCCTTCTCGCTACATTCGTCTAACTCTCCCACATTCCAAACCACTAGTGTGAACACCATGCTTTTTTTTTTCTCTACAGTAATCCCGGTTTTTAATTACTACAGTTTTTGAATTTTTTGAATTGCTACAGTATCTCATCTCTGCTACAGCGTTCCCATTTTGCTGCATCTTCATACTTGCTACAGTAAGTAGTATAAATAGTGAATCTTGGGTTTTCCCATTTGTGTAGAGGAATAGAGTCCGCGTCAGAGAGAAAAAAAAAGGAATAAAGAACCACCACTGAGAATAAATTGTGGAGACCACAACCCTTGTGTAGAAATGCAGCCATGCAAGAAGAACAATGGTCACCGTCTTAGTCGCCGTTAGATTAGCTGTTATAATAGACTGATCAAATGGCCAGAAGCGAGAAACCGCCCTCAAGGAAAAATCAGAAAACTAAAAAGGAAGTACCAAGTATGGAAGCAGCTTGAACTCTAGGAGTATAAAGAGAGAGCATACAAATTGGTAGGACAAAACCATGACCTCTCTGGGATGCAAGGATCTATGCTACCAGCATAATCCTACCAGACATAATTCTTTCCATGCAGACTTGCTCCTTGGTTGCACGAACTTAAACTGCATAAACAATCAGACGGGTTCCTTGGTGGAAACCAACCTTAAATAAAACCATGTTTTGCCCAAGTTTATTTTGAAATTTGGATAAACTCAAAATGATTGGTGTTAGCTTTGATAAATTCTCATAAATCTCGGTCAATATTTGGGAGCATTGAACTTCAGTGCAGACTCTATTTTGATGGGAAAATATAAATAATGACAACAGAAAAGTATATATGCCTTGTTGAGGGAGAAATCGGGTCCAATCTAGAGTTGATGGGTCTTAAACAGAAGTTATGAATCAATTTTCACCCAAAAGCTATAGCTATCAGGTATTGACGCAAACTCCTATTTAAATTCATCACTCTTTCTTATCTTATCCGATGAAATTCACTAAGTTTTTGCATCACTTCACTCGTGGGCTAACCAATAATAAACTTTTGCACCACTCCACTCGTGGGCTAACCAGACAATGCATTCAGCACATAGTTATCAAACATCCGTAGGAACTTTCACCACTTCACTCATGGTGGCTAACTAGACTATATCACTTCTACGGGCATCCGTGGATAATCCCTACACCTTCGGGCTTCACATCGAAGATCAGCTGCTTTCTTTTTTATTTATTACTTGAACCATGACCTTAGCTCTGTTACCACTTGTTGGGGTAGAAATCGGGTTCAATTTAGAGTTGATGGGCCTTAAACAGAAGTTATGAATCAATTTTAACCCAAAAGGTATAGATATCAGGTATCGACTCAAACTTTTATTTAAACTCATTACTCTTTCTTATCCTATCCGATGTGGGATTATACTCACATATTAATCACCTCAACATTCCTGAGTTAAAGCTCTACACATGCCACAATGCAGCCTACCAAGTTATGTTCAGTATTTATGCCTGAGTTAAAGCTCTATTTCAACACTCTTAACGAGTCTCTATCTAATACTTCAGGATGGTCACAGACATTCCAGGAAGTACAGGAGCAAGCTTTGGTGAGGAGAAACTCATGTAACTATTTTATTGAAAATACGTATCAACTAAGTACATATGAGTGCTTTTGTCTATACCAGGGCAAGAGATCATGTGTTATGAGAACCCAAGGCCAACAGCAGGGATCCACCGTTTCGTCTTCGTCCTGTTTCAGCAGCTCGGCCGCCAGACTGTTTACGCTCCCAATTGGCGCCAGAACTTCAGCACCAGAGACTTTGCAGAAGTTTACAATCTCGGTTCTCCAGTTGCTGCGGTCTACTTCAACTGCCAGAGGGAATCAGGATCTGGGGGAAGAAGAATGTACACATGATTATGACATGACAATGCTAATATGTACCTATTAAAATGCTTATATTGTATTACTAAAATATAGAGGCTACACATGCTGATATGTATGGTATGTAGTGCCAAGTGTGAGGCAAAGGAAGGGCAAGCAGAATTACCTGCTTCAACGGCTGTAAACTCTTCTGATTCTCTAAATAATAAGATATGAAATAATAGCAATGAGCCCTGCTGATCTTCTTATATTGGACAAAGATTGGAGTGTTGGATTTAAATCCAATATATGGGCGAATATATTAAATATATATATATATATATATATATATTATGTGTTACCAATCAAGATTAGCCTATTAAAGTGATCTAATTTAGGGTTTGGGCTTTTAATGCATAATTAAAGTATGAGCTTCCCACTAGTAGAAAAACAAACAACCTAGACGAAAATTTTCGTCTAGGTTGCTCCATTTCTCGTCTAGGTTGGTACACCTAGACGGAATTCCGTCTAATTTTCTCCGTCTAGGTTGGGACAAGCTAGACGGAATTCCGTTTAGGTTGACCAACCTAGACGGGCATCAACCTAGACAGAATTCCGTCTAGGTAGCCAACCTAGACGGATTTCCATCTAGGTAGCCAACCTAGATGGATTTCCCTCTAGGCTGCCAACCTAGATGGAATTCCGTCTAGGCTGCTACTGTTGCTACAGTAACAACCTAGACGGATTGCTCCGCTACATTTTTTGTGCAGAGTCTACGTTCCACGCTATATAATATCCAACACCAAATCATATTCATATCCAACCCAATCTAATTAAATTTCAATATCAAATATAATTATATTCAAATAATACATTCACCAAAATACTAGAGCGAAACATAAATTATTTACATAGACAATAACTAATTTTCACATGTCAAGGATTTATACAATGAAAGAGTTCGCGAAAGCCATGAGAAAGGTAAATTTACAGATGTGAAGAGAAGTAGACACAAAACAGTATTATTCCCAATCAAAGAAACCGGCATCATTCATCTCAGAGTAGTATACATTCTCCAGAGGCATGTCCTCCTCCTGTATCAATACCAGATAAAAAATCCAAATAAAATATAGAAAATCCAATAGAACAAACACAAAATAACAATAGTTGAAAGCAGATTAAGAAAATGTTAGGCCTTCACAAAAGTTCTCACCTAAAACAAACACGACAGTGACTTTCTTGTCGATGAATGCAATACCAGTAGCATCCTGCAATAAATTTTACAACTTAAAGACTTGCTAACTAGCATATTGTTAAATTCTCATTCAAATTAACCTTATCTCCATGTCAGTCCTTGAATCATATTTTGTAGGTATGAGTGCAACCTACAAAATAGGTAAGAAGGATATTAGAGTTGTCAACGTGAATGTTCTTCATTCAAAATTGTCATCACAAATTACATTTTCCAACAAATATTAGTAAATGAATACCAAAGGGGTCATCCTAACCAACACCCTTAATTACTCTCTCACCTCCCCATCTTTCACATACTTGGTATACCATTGAAAAAGTGAACACTCACTAAGCAAGACTGGTAGCCCCTGTTAGACAAAATGTCCAAGAGAGTATCCATATGGAAAAGTAAGCAACTCTCTATTGGAGGTAGATTTACCCTTATTAACTCTATTCTAACTTCTATTCTCATATACTTTATGTCCTTCTTCAAAGTCCCCTCTTCGTTAATTAAAGGCATGGACAGGATAAGAAGGAACTTCTTATGGAGGCGAATTAGACTCCTGCTCTCCATGCAAAACCCTTGTCAAATGGAGTCTGGTCTGTAAACCCAAGAAAGTTGGGGGGTTGGACATTCTCAATCTCCGTGATTTCAACCTTGCCCTTATTTCTAAATGGATGTGGAAAGCTCTACAAAATGAATCCTTCCTGAGTAAACTTATCAATTCCGTGTATTCAGCTAACCACACAAATCCTAGTTTCTCACCGCCAGGTCACTCAGCATCTAGATTTTGGAAAGACACATTCTATTGTAGCCAGGCTTTGAGAATTCATGTTCAATGGAAATTAGGGAATTGATCTTTAACTAGATTTTGGGAGAATAAATGGTCAGACCCCAATTCCTTGGCTTCCCTATTCCTCTTAGCCTTCAATCTTGCTCTATCAGACAGAGTCTGTGTTATATCCCAAGGCCTCCTCCATAACAATGAGTGGAGATGACAGCCTCTGATCAAAAGACCAATATCCAATAGGGATTATGAGGATGTTCAAGCTCTAAGAGTCTACCTTTCTAAGCTCTCTTCCTTCCCCAACCTTGACAAGGATATTGTATGGTGGCCCTACCATCCTTCCGGGAATTTTACAGTTAAGTCTGCATACTTATTCATTAATGGCATCAGAACTCAATCCAATTACTACAACTTTATTTGGAACTTAGTCACCCCAGCCAAAGTGAAAGTGTTTTTATGGATTCTCATGAAGAGAAAGCTTAATACTAAGATACAATATAGTAAAAAAGGGTGGACAAGGGATGTTACTTGTTGTCTTTGCAATGAAGGCCCTGAGAGTGATGACCATCTATTTCTCTACTGACCTTTGCAATTCAGACATGGAGCTTTTTCTTACCTTTCCTTTAGAGATCTCCCCTCCTACTGGAATTCAGTTCCATCCTAGAATCCAAGGGATGTTTTCTGGAAAACAAAGAAGATAGGCTCCTGTGGGACATTCTTTTCCCAACCTTCCGTCGGTGCTTATGGAGGGCTAGAAACAATCCCATATTCAACACAATAGAGACTTCCCCCCGAGTATAGCTTCTAATATTACTCACTTCATTATGTTGTGGATATGTAACTTAGCATCAAAGAGAGCATTTTCTATGCACAGAGTAGTGGCCAAGAAGGGGATAGCTCAATTGCTGCTACAAGATGACTCCAACGACATGGCTCGTGTGGGAGACAACTTTTGATGGTGGCATTATTGAAAGAACAATCTCTTCTTGTAATTAAGAACTCACAAAATTGTCTTATCCTTCTCTTTTGGTTGTTTTGTATATATTATCTTGTGTAAGCTCCAATAGTCTGAGTTTAGTGTTAGCTCCATATCATGTATACCCAGCCATTAATCCTCTTCTTGAACTTCTTTAGCCTAATTTCTCTTTCTTTAGCCTAATTTCTCTTTCTCCTTTCCCTCCCCACTACAATAGGTGACGGTTATGGTCCTCTCCCTATTCTTGGTGGAGATAATGAGTTAGACCCTTTAGGCTACTGATTTCAAGGACGAAATAGGCTCTTTTGGTCTTATGAAAAATGAACAGGGATCTCACCATGTTTCTTTCCGTCAAAAAAAAGAGATGCAACACGCTAATATTTCAGTTTACAAGGTAAATCTTCAATACATGGTAGTATAAAGTTTTGAAAGTCTGCAAACCCGCTTAGGGCCCGTTTCGTTGCTAAAAAGAAGAGTTGAAATGGGCAGAAAGCCTGTCAAAACTAACAAAAACTATCAGTTTTGACAGGCATTCTTGCAAAAACGCCCCAAAAAATAGCGTTTTTGTAAGAAAGCCTGCCAAAACTGACAGTTTTTGTCAGTTTTGGTAGGCTTTCCCAAGCCCTCTTCAGCAACCAAACGGACCCTTATATCCCGATTTATGACTTTGTATGTGCATATTGTAAACAAATGATGGCAGATTTTGAAAAGAGTGATACAGAAAGTAAGGTGGTCGGAACGAACAAGAGTATAGTAGAAGTGATTATTTATAATCCCCCTTTCAATGGAAGGGATAAAGAGAATAAACTTGTAGAATGTTATATTTTTTGTTTCTGATTTTCTAATTGCAAAGCAAGATAAGTGCCTGGCCTAATGAACAAACTCAAATGTAAGGCATGGGCAAGAATCATGTGATCTATTGATCATGGTAGAATTATAAAAATATGATGGTACGTATTCATACCATTAGCTAAGATCTTGATGCGGATATCAAGGAATGCCAACCAAAGGAAATTGTGAGATAAAGAACGTTGGAAGAATCTTCAGAGTTATTGATACAGATAATATTTTGTCATAAAATCGACCCTGATTTATGTAACTAACAACAGAAACAGACAATAATACGTAGAGCAAAAAAGGGCAAAACAAGCTTGAGAATGTTATTATCTTAGACCGATGTTTAAATGAAAATCATGAAGGGAATATAAAAAGTTAATGCATCTAAATAGAATACACCTTTATGGCTATCAAACTCAAAACAAGTTTGAGAAGTGGCTGACAGCCGAACTTGCGTATCATGCTACATTCTGACCGTACAAGGAATGCTAGCTCATGGCTAGGTATATATGACCAAGTCACATGCTCGAATCACTCCTCTTGGCTTCTATATACCGCCTCAGGGTTTAAACATCAAGCGAGTGGATTGTGTACATTCTTGACTTTTCCTAGCGTTACTGAGATGAGAAGAATGAAATGAGCATATGGTTTCAACAGAAGTATCAAATGAATGGGCTCAATTGCTTGTGTGGCTCCTTTCATTGGGACATGCACATACATAAGTACAACAGTACAATGATTTTCTTTGGTTTTCACTCGCAAGACTCTTTTTATCCTTCGTGTATGCCTCTTACATGCCTTTTTAAAAAATTGAACGTGACACTGAATCCAGCAATCTATATATCATGAATGGTTAGACATGGAGTTGACGTATCTTAAAAATCCTCCTCTACTGTTATGATAAAGTTAAAGTTGACATATCTTAACAACATTTTCGTGTTGCAAATATATCTAACCAAACACCCATAAATGTAGTCGGAACAACATACTGTTTCAACTACATTCCAATCTAAACACATCACTGGTATTGCAACTACATTTGTAGTTCAAACACCCTCTAACCAAACACCTTAGAGATAAACAAGGAACCCAAAAGAAGGATCCCTTTAAGTCGATGTCCTTCATCTAGTGCACAATACAATATGGAAGTAAAGCAATCTAGCGCACAATACAATATGGAAGCAAAGCAAACTTAATGCTGCTAATGGTAACCATCAGGCAAAAACAACCACATTTTTTGCTTCATTCGGGAATAAATGCCCTCCTGAGCTAATTTTAAAGTACATGAATTTGAAGAACGTTAATAAGACAGATTAGCTGAGAATATGGCAACAGCCAGCCCTAACAGGCGGCCAGGATAAGCATTCATCGAGTTAAGATCAAACACAAGCTCCGAGGAACATTCGAATCTGAGACATAACATGAAGTTAAATAGCAAGCCATCATACAAGAACGACCAGCAGCTGGGTAGCTGATGATCCCACAAATTATAATCTAGAACTTGCATGATGGTGAGAGAGTGGAAGAAAGACCTAACTAATTTTTATCAAAAGCTCACACGTCGTAGAAGGGTATCACAGATAATTGACCACATGCACATCTTGTACTTCTAAGCAAATAAGGATTTATACAGGAATAGTCATATCAAGGATTAGTTGGACCAGGCCAAGTTCAGATAATGCAACCTAACGAACAAGAACACAATAATGGCTATACAAAACTATTATGTACATTACAATCTTACATTAATAAACCCGTACAAAGGAATCATACGTAAGTCATGAGAAATAAGAAGCTCTCACTCTGCTCCGATAATATTTTTTGGGTTGAAATTGGAACAGTCACCCATCATCCTGATACGCAATCACACAATCTCGTAGTTCCCTAAGAAAGTGCAGAATTCACCGTTTTATTGTTACCAACACACATTGAATTCCCACGTCAGGGAAAGCTAAATAATAGAAGCATAGATAAGCAGCCCATCAGTCAGCAGATTTCACTATAAAATTCATATTCAGCGTCTTGGACACTTCTAATCCAGAAAATACTAATTACTCAAGAAAGAAAGGCTATAAATCCTCCTGTGCATAAATATGTCGCACTGAAACCGTGCTATGAATGCACTGCTGTAGATCTGGTGCTTCTACTTTTCTACTTTAGGATATTAAATGTCATCTTCCTAAAAACTCCGTAGAGAAAATGAAGTAATGAACTTCTACAATATTATCTATCTCCAAAGTCTCAACTTCTTCTTAAGAATGGAAAATCAGAAAGCCACAATAAACCTGTAAACTCTTTACGCAAAAGCTTTAGCCGGAACCATAAATATGCCTGAATATAGATCCAAGCTTCAGGTTTTTCAATACTCTTCATATCAGCGACTCCATATATGAACCATAATAAATAGGCTGAGAATACCAGTTGGTTTCCTCGAAGTGAGCTGTTGCCATAATTTGGTTTCTCTGTGTCAGAGATTTCATATAGGGACCATAATAAACAGGCTGATAATGCCAATTGATTTCCTCAAAGCAAACTCTTGCTCTCCAGTCCTTTCATAGTTTTCGTTTCAGCATGCCCATGGGTACCATTAGAACAAGAAAGTCAATCAGTGCCATCAATTCTCTTCTAAGTCGATTGTGAGGAGTTGCATGGTGATCCACAATATTGGCAAGCAAAGTATTGTCACTCGATCAATAAGTCTCTCCCAGATGCTCCAACATGGTTATGTTTTTTATTGTCCAGATGAAAGATTCTTTTTCCCCCCTTATAGCAAACCCATTTGTGATAAGCCAGCCAATCTATCATGGGTTAATCCTAGACCTCAGTAATCCGCAGCTATTCATGAAAGGAAACAAAATTAACAAAACATCAGAGAATAAAGAGAAGCAATGATACCTAAATCAAGAAATCATTTAATATAGTTCCCATAAGAGTTCAAAGATAGAGAATTACACAAAGTAAACATAGCATAAAGAATCCTTGAAAAGACAATAATGGATAAGATAGTCCCTCCAACAAGAAAAAGTCTCAGAACTTTACGTCGCCTCCTTGGGTTAAGCCAGGTGATGTAGTGCAGACTGACCTCTAAAATGGACTCGCCGTCAAGGAAAAAAACCTGTAAGCTAAACTAATTAAAAAAATTTGTCATATGTAAGCAAAGCTCCTGAAATAAAACCATGTCTGATGTCCCAGAGCACGATACACCTGCTCATCTGTGTCCGACACTTAAAACGTGCAAAATACTATTTATCTTAAAAACTATACACATAAGACAGACATTCTTGTGCTCCACTTGACAAAAACTAATTTTATGTTTTGCTAAATTTAGGTTCTTTTATGTATGAATAGCAACAAATGCTTGTTCATATGAATCATAATTCATAAATGCATATATGTCTATAAGAAATATACATATATGGCTGTTGACTCCACGTCTGGATTTTGAATTAGTGTTGTGTCTGATACCCATGCCTGTATTGGAGCACGACACTAATCCGTGTCTAAAATAATCATGAACAAGGAATCATCTACATAAAATACATATGTGCAGAGATGTTTGGCATGCCGCACCAATGTAGGTTTTATATAAAGCAAACTACAACAGAAGGTATATAAGTTAGATTTCACAGATGAATATTTTAACACAGCAGATAAGTGCCGACTTTGAAGGCAGTGCACTATGTTACCAAAATAAGAACAATTTAATGGCCAAAACAATCCCCATGCTTGAGCAATTTACAGTGAAAGACGATAAAATCTATTACTGAACTGAAGATAACGAGCGTTCAACATAATTTCTATAAAGGTCTAACGGATCTCACATGATCCCTCGACTTCAGTCCACAATAATTATTGATCTCTTGATATATACTACTTTATTTATTTATTTTATAATGTGTCCAGAAGGGGAAGCAAAATTAACAATAATATGTTTATTAAGATTACAAAAAACCACTTTTCTTTTAATTCATGTAGAAGCTTAGGGGATAAGTAAGATATAGCTAGATTTCAGCATATAAGCATTCAAACCTAGAAGACCAATAGTTAAGCAGTCAAAAAAGTTATTCTATGTTACGCTTCTGGTGAAATTTCTTTTCTTGGTAGTTGGTATATTCTACTTTGTTCAGTTAAGAAAGCTGAATGGAAATAAAATACATACCGGTAAGCTATTGAGAACACCCAAAGTTGCAGATACATGAAAAGTGCAAGACAATATGCTCTCCACCAGGGTTGGTATAGTAGCACTAAGATATACCCACCGAGGCTGATAAATTGATAGGTGAATGGAATATGCCAAAGTGAGCACATTGCCAATAAATACAAAAGTCCCACCACATGCAGACGATATGTCATCCGAATTAGCTGATGTATTTTTACTTAGCTGTAAGCACTCTGGTGAATAAGGTGTTGAATATGAGATTTCAACCCATGACGTTCCAATTATCTGAACAGGCGTCATGCAGGATTCATGCTGTCAAAGTCGATTAAATAATTAGTATCACATGCATGTGAGTATAAGTCTAGCAGAATATAGTATGAGAAGCATATTGTTAAGTTTGTCAGTCAAAAGGAAAAGAAAGCAAGTTCACTGCTGGTACGGTCATTCACAAGCAAACAGAGCTATAGAGCTGATGCTCATCCTATGATAACCTTGTCCAAGAAACCAACAGCTATGTGATACGCCAGTCGAAATACTGCCACTATTAACCCCTTCGGAAGAAAATTTGAACAGATATTTGTGAACCATTATCAGACTACAAAACCGTGAAAAGTACTAACTGCAGCTGTCAGAATTATTTGCCTAAAAGTCTCTTGGCTGTAGAGCAACAATACATATCTATCAACCTGTGCCATTCCCTTCCTGTGGGCTTTTGAGCTACATAGAGAAGACTTAGGGGCTGTTTGGTTCAATTTCTATAAAAAAAAAGGAAAAGGAAAAATACCCAAAAATTGATTTCCATGTATTTCTATAAAAAATTATAGGAGAAGTTTATAAAAATTCAAAAAGTGGTGTTTTTTTTACTTTCTTTGTTTGGTTCAAAATATGAAAAGAGGAAAAGTCAACTTTATAGAAAATGAGTTGAGAAGTGGAAATGGAATAAGTTTGTACAAAAACTATTATTTAAATCAATGCGTCAGATTTCTCACCAATTTCCTCTCATTTTGAGAGGAAGTTGATTTCTATAAAATGTGGTACTTTTCCCTACTTTATAGAAAACATTTCTATAAACTTTTTTTGAACCAAACATAGTTTATAGAAAACTACAGAAAACTTTTAATTACAAAATTGCCATTGTCAAGTCTTTTCCTAAAACTTTTCTACAAAATGGGTGAACCAAACACCCCCTTAGCTGAAAAGATGACTCACTCGGAAAGGCAATATGACAAGACTTCTAAAATTGTCAATGAGAGGTTTAAAATGCAGGAGCTACTGAATTTAATGCCTCAGCACTACGTTAGAAACCACTTCGGCCAAAAACTTCAAATATGAAGTGTGGCCACAGGCTTAGCAATCTCAACCTTACATTACCTGAACCCTCAAGATAAGTCAAGCAGTTTAGATTTGTAATACTTTTCAAGGTTTTTACAGAATAATTCTGCATTCATTTGCAGAAAAATCAGAATGGAACTTATGTAACTATGTTCAAGTACCACCAAGAAAAATCCTAAATCAAATTATGTTCTTCAGAACAAAAAATTTATACCTCCAAACATGCACAACTGGTTTGGTCACTTCCAGTCACCTCCCATCCATCCCCACATTTTTTAAGCTTTATAACATATTTGGCATTCAAGCATTGCTTAGTTACTGTTCTGTTTGCATTCCTATCCTCATTTCTGATACCATCTGACAAGCTAGAAGATAAACAGGGAATACTCGCAAAAATAGCAAGCTCGCCAGGACAAGAAAAGTTGTCCTCTATTCTTCGAGTAATATTAGTCTCGACTAGCCAAGAATGAGGGACACAATACCCCTTCTTCCCACTGAATGTTGTCTGAAGCATTTGGGAATTAATCTGGATCATCTTCTTGGTCCAGTCACTGGGATACCGAATTCTTGAACCATCAACTGCTGTGATCACATCCCCATGTGACAAATAACCAGATAAAGCAGAAGTTTGAGGAACCTCTAGAACCTGTCCCAAAGTTGCAATTTAGAATGAAATATGTGGAAATAGGGAGTAAGTTGACTGAGTTTTAAAAGACCTACTGTGGGAGCTTCACCATGTACATAAAGAGGAGAATAGGGAGTAAGTTGACTGAGTTTTAAAAGACCTACTGTGGGAGCTTCACCATGTACATAAAGAGGAGACAAGACAAAGGGAAGCAGGAACATCATTATCCAACAAACTGCACAGAACTTGAAAACAAGTTACGTTTCTGTTAGATGCTTTTACCCACTTTTGACTTTACCCACATGTATCATGCTATTTTCAATTATAGTTTCTCCACCCAAAAAAGATGGATTTGCAGATTGCACAAGCGCAAAAAATAAATTGTAAAATAATAAATAGTAGATTCTGGATTTGACCTTGCAATGAATATCAAAGGTAACATGGAACATGTTCATTTTTCCAGAAATCCACATTTATAACTCACCACGATGTTATGCCAAATCCCAGCACAATATATTCGAAGAGCAGCAAACCATGGCAAACTATTTAGCATGTCGTAGTTGATTGCGACCAGGGCTCCAGGAAATACAATTGCCAAAAATATAGCGATGTACTCAATTTGTATCCCCTCACTGAAGATGCAGCAGTAGCATATATTAGCAGCCAGAATTATCTAAGCATAAAAAATTCCAACATCTATGATAACAGATTCTTGTTTATAGGTGTCCTCGCTCCAAATTCAAAAAAGCAAAAATAATATGCATGCTATAAACATCAATACTGACATAAAAAATATGAGTCAAGCATGTAGAAACTAGATATCGATTAAATGGCATCAAAACCCTGTCATAATCATAAAAAACATAGACAACATTATTCAGATATATAAAAAAATTATAAAATAATTTAATAAAGGGACATTGCTGCTAAATGGAGATGTTGCACATTTTCTAAGAAGAGTTCTTAAGGGTCACCCATCAAATGAAATCATAAGATGAGCTGTGAAATTGTTGCCGAGTGCTCACGATTTGACACAAATCATTTGCATTGTTCAACACCTTTTCATATTTTTGTTTCTGTCAGATTGTATAAACTTGTGCAGTTAAACAAGTACAATTACTGCTCTTTAAAGCACATTCTAAATATATATATATATATATTTGGACATCTCCACAATGGGAACTGAACCATCAATCCCTGACATTGGAGGAAGAAGGGCAGGGCCATTCCCCCCCCCCCCCCCCCCCCCCCCCCCCCCCCCCCCCCCCCCCGCCACCACCACCCACCCTCCTGAAGATTTTGCCAAAATAAGGAGAAGTGGTAGTCTCAATTAAACCATGAGCTAGATAGGAACTTAAGATATAGATGGCGGTCAAGTTACAATACTTGTCCAACCAAAACCACAAAGCCCTGGCCATTTGTAATCTATTCCCTTTTCCAAACTCTAACAACCTTTCCCTGTCCATTTTCCAAACCCAAAACCGACAACTCACTTATTAATTTGGGGTTTTTATATATATATTATATATTATTATATATATATAATATATATATATATATATATATATATATATATATATATATTATATATAATATCATATATAGGTATTTTAAAATTTACCCCTCAATCATGATAATCATTAATTTGACCTCAATTTATATTATTCCTCCAATTCTACTCTCTAACTCACTATTAGATAATCTAATAATTATAATAATATGTTATTATAGTTTAAAAATGACTGATTTTTCCTTGAAAAAATAAATTAAGTTTAAGAACAATGAATGAAAATCCCTACTTCTTACTAGCGCTGCTCAAAATATTAACAAAACCATATCGACCACTTTTTCTCGTCTCTCACCGACCCTATTTACAACATCCTTTTGATTGTAGCTATAAGATTTCTGTAATTGTTGCTTACTTAACAAACTGATCTCTATTGTTTGAGACTTTTGAGTTGTTTGAACTTTGAAGCTGATTACATTACAATGTTTGGATTATTTGGGATTTTGAGTGTCGCTGAATACACTTGGTTGAGGAAAATTTTCTTATTGCGTTTACAAGAGAGAAGAATCGTGGTGTATGATCGGCCAATTAACTAACTAGTGAATTCGTCATTAAGGTATTAGGTTGAATTATAATGATTTGGTTTACATCAAAAAACCTTATAATTTTAATTCACTTTGGTCTTTTCCAAACCCAAACAATTGCCCCAGATTAGTGTTAACAATCAGTCCTTCTCATCAACAATCCCCCAGACATCAAATCTAAAACTGATCACGATTGGCGATAGCATTGGCCGATGAGTGATCCCTCTAAGAACCCTTTCTTAGCTCTCGTTTAG